GTTCTGACCCATAGCGACCCTGTACACTAGCCACTAGCCATTAGAGAGATGCAAATCAAAACAACAGTGAGGTATCATCTCACACCAACAACATCAGCAAAGATGAATAAAAGTAGAAGACAATAAATGCTGGCCAAGATGTGGAGAGACTGGGACACTCCTGCATTGCTGGTAGGATTGCAAAATGGTCCAACCTCTCTGGAAAGCAATATGGCGCTTCCTCAGAAGGTTGGAAATAGAAATACCTTATTACCCAGCAATTCCTCTACTAGGTATTTACCCACAAGAAATACAAGCCATAACATGAGTAGATACATGCACACCAATGTTCATAGCAGCTCTATTTACAATAGCAAAAAGATGGAGACAGCCAAAGTGCCCATCAACTGAAGACTGGATAAACAAACTATGGTACCGACACACAACGGAATATTATGCTACCTTGAAGAACACAACAAGGAAGCTGTAAGCCACCGCATAACATGGATGAACCTTGAGGACATTATGTTGAGTGAAATTAGTCAGTCACAAAAGGAGAAATACTGCATAGGACCAGTACTGTAAAAAACTATGAAAAAGAACCCATACTAATGTGGGTGGGGGATTCTTTGCTGGTTACCGGGACATGGGTGGTAGGGCAAGGGGAGGGAGGGGAAGGTGGAGCACAGGGTAGGGAATAGACACAGGATAGTTTGGGTGCTGGGGAGAGGGGCAATCCACAAGAAGGGAGGGGGGATGGAAGAACAAGGCGTATGGGAAAATAATTAGGCAGGTTTGTATGAGCTAAGTGGGACAGAGGTAAATAATGATGTATGCACAACCTTGGAACAACAGGGCTCTGGGATAAAGGGATTGAGGCATGGTTGGAAAGGGCAAAAGGGAGGAAACAACGTTAAGATGCTTGGCTGTCTTTTGAATCTTGGTTTCGCTGGCATACCATTATAAAACAGACACTGGAGGGGAGACAGAGGAATAGCCAGAAACATCACCATAGAAAACTTTTAAGTCCATCTTCTGCCTGTAACTGATTGGAATACCTAAAATGGGGCTACAACGTGCGCAGTGAAGGAGCTTCCTGTGGAGCCTCTGCATTACAAAAGACCATAAGTGGAATCCTGAACCCAGTCCAGAATCTTCTGAGGTGGAAAATTTCCACTTGAAAAGACAAGCAGACCAGCCTGGAGTGGCTAGAAGAACAGAAGATACTTCTTGAAAGAAAGACCGACAGGAAAAATATAAAACAATAATGGCAGTCTCATTGACTACTACAACAAGTAAGTTGTTCACCCAGGAGACATCAAGGCAAGTGATCGGGTCCCCTAAAGGAAACCCCCTTCCAAGACTAAGACTCAATGGGAATACACTAGCAGGCATGCGCTCTGACTGGTGACCATATTGGTCTCTGATAATGGTAACTGAGGGAAAAACATCAGTGAAGCAGCAAGGTAAGCCCTACCACATTCAACAGACTCCTGTGAACCCAGTGGTCTCCACTGGATGGCCAGCAGTGTGGCAAGACCTGGGGACTCCTAGGTCCAGGTCAGTGACATAGCCACAGAGGACTAGAGTAGAGAGTGAAGCATCCAGCAGATAAGAAGTGAAGGGATATGCAAAAGAACACCCACACTTACAGATAATACCCACTTTACCTGGCTTCAATGGCTGCATGATCAGAATTCAATTAGAAGAAGAAAGAAGAGGGGAAAAAAAAAAAGTAATGTGATAGATACAATTTGATGAACTTGACCTACACCCATGGATGCAGTAGCTCAAAAGAGGAACAAATCTTTACAACAAGGATCACTCCCACCCCCTCCATACAGAGTAGACAGGGATGGGCAACTTGGACATTGGCTACCCAAAATGGGGGGCTACAAATGCAAGAAGTGACTGGCTTACAAGATTTCAAAGGGAGCCTAGATCCAGAAGGTACGGAGGAAGTCAATCTCCACGTAGTATATCCAATCTGTCTGGGCAGGGCTGATGAAAGAAGATGAAGATGGCAGTCATGTGGGACAATAGTGAATGATTATTATCAGGACTGACTGTTGAGAGTTGGAAATGTAAAGGTAGACGTTCTGTAGCAAAAGGAGGGGAGTGACTGACTTTGCAGTCCAGGAGCAGAGGTTCCTGGGACCATCAAGGGAGAAGAGCAGAATGCGGGACCCTACCCAGAGAAGCACTGACGCCAGAGATGGAGGCAGAGATGATGACGTGGAGAGATGAAGCATCTGGGGACTCTACACCCTGAGACAGAGATGGGCTGTGTGCTGATGACCAGGGTATACCCTTTGGTTGGTTGATGATGCATGGCGGGGATTCTAACCATGGCAATGAAACAATATATGACAGGATAAATGTAAAGCTAATGCATGTAAACTATCACATAATTCACAATAAAACATTTTTAAAAAAAGACAGTAAGGTGAACATTCCTTGGCCTACATCTACTGCTTAGTGTCATCAATATTCCTTCAAAACATCAACTGAAATGAAGGTGGACTATAACAAGTCACTGTGTTTTCAAGAAGTCAGACATATTTTTACAAAGAAGATATAGACACCTAGACTCTGTGAGGTTCGTTCATGTCCACAACAACAACAAAAAAAAAGGTGCCCAAAGCATCTTAGGAGCACACGTGAGGCATGTACCACCAGAACTCCTCCCAGAACTGCAGCCGGCCTTCATGAGCCCACAAAGGTCAGCTGGACACTTACAAATGTCATGCGGGACTCCAGAAGCGAGTCCTTACAGGTGCATTGCTCAACAGAGGTCGCAAGTGGACGTCAACACTAAACAAACTGGCTTATGAACAAGAGGCAAACTGAGCAGGGCAGTTGTGGCCCTTCCACATGCTAGAAGCAGGCTCAAATCAACAGTGCAGTTGGAAACCCTGGGCATCCTCAGCCTGCAGGAAACTCTTCAAGGCAGGCCAAATTCTATCCTGTGTCTGAGCGGCTTCCTACTCCAACATGGAGAGCATACAAAAGATATGCATACAAGCTGCAAGTGGTCGAATGGAAGCAAACGGGAATTTTCTCATCGGAACATCACAGACCTAAAAAGTCCTGTCCAGCCCTATAGTTTTGTTATTATTATTGTGATGATGCCAAAAAGCTTATGGCAAACTCTCTCAATCTCAGCGTCCAATATCAGTGGCAATGGTTTAAAAAAAAAAGGGGGGGGGGGTGTGTTGAGTCATCCAAAGCAGAACCAGTATCACACGGCAGCTTAAACACTCATGGCCTGATCAGGTGACAAAAGCAGAATCCCTGAGGCTGAAGACGTGTTCTTTTTGTCTCCAGTATTTTGTAACCGTGTTGTTCTCCGTCTACTAGCACTGTTGAAGTACCAAGATTACAAAACACGCTTTCATTAAAATGCTAGTCTCCTCAAAACAGTTTCATTTCACATAAACTCTCAAAAAAAGTTACCTTAAAGTTCAATTACTTTTATCTCCATTTGACAAATTTGAAAGTACAATTCAATGAGGAAAACTATGCTCTTCACTTTTACAGACAATGGACTTTAGTGGTCTTTGCTGTGTGGGCAGATCCTGAGAGCAGAAAAGTGGACTGGCTGGCTCCTTTAGTCTATGCCTAGCCTGGCAAGAAGGAGTGACCAGCGAGACTACCCTCCCAGGGCACCAGGAATCACTACTACTGCTAACTTTGATTATAAATCTTCATTGGCTTTTGGGTGGTTATCTTGAGATTTGTAGTGTTGGCAAAAGGAAATATTCCATGTACGTGTTTCTACTTTATTTCTCCAAATCTCAAAGGTTTGTTCCTTGAAAGGGGGAGCGGATGGGAAGGGATAAGGAAGCACTGTGGCTCTGTAGGATGGGAACTAGACTGCTAACCACAAGGTCAGCAGTTCCAGCCCACCAGTCGCTCTGCAGGTGAAAGATGAGGCTGTCTGGTCCTGCAAAGATTTTGAGCTTCGAAAGCCCTAAACAGAGTCACTATGAGTCAGAACCAACTCAACAGCACCTAACAACACGGAGAAATAAACGGAGCTTCCTTTTCTTTCATCTCCAAATTTCCATAAGGGTCACTACATAGATCTTTTAAAAACAAAAACATAAAGCATTCCACAGTTTTGTCCCTCTCTCTTAAGGCTCTACCTGGTACCATGAGTACCAGAATGTCACTGACCTGTGACATGGAGTTTTAGAGAACACTGATGAGCAAGTTCTCTTGTGTCTCACATAATGCACACAAGCAGGACCCTGTCTGCAGCCTGCGGCTGTCACCACAAGCCCGAGCACCAGTAAATCATCACCTGATTGCTATATCATCATACATAAGAAACAGCAAAAGTGACTTGAGGACAATTCCACAGTCTGGAGGCTTCCCCTGTTTCGAGACCAGATCAACAAGCATGGGCAGTCTGGGTGGCCACTGGCTGTCTGCCTGGACTCCACTGATGTGGGCTCTGCCACAGGCACACGGCACCCTACACAGAACCAGCAACCAGCACCCAACTGCTGGCAATTCTCCAACTGCCTTTTGATGGGCTATTTAACGACACCCAGACTTACTGCCTTCCCTGTGAAAGTCAGAAACTCTGAATGTGATGAAGACCTACCTCGGTCAGAAAACGCTAGAGACAAAGCAATTCCAAATCCTAAGAATGAATTTTAAAACTCACATAAAGCATTAACCTTTTATTACAATGTGTAATGAATGGCTTTCCTCATCCATGAATACTACCTGACTAATTTGCATTAGGGGGAAAACCAGCCCTAAGCATCAGAAAGCAGTGCTCCAACCATGGCTGGAGAAAGGGGCAAGAGCGAACGGGAGGAAAAGGTGCCTTCACCACCGACTTGTGGGATCTAGGAACCCACCTCCCAGTGAACATACTCCCAGCACTGGAGGCTCTGTCGAGGAAACACCCGAGTGGCAGGGACATCCCCAGATCAGTGCTTCCTCCCCTTCAGTCAGCCCCCAACCCCAAACCGTGCTGTAACCCCGCGGCACGCATGTTCACCAACCTCCCTGGTCCCGCGCAAAGAGCTCACAGAAGTCAGGATGTGCACAGGCTGGATCCTTCGCTGCTTCCACTCCTGGTTTAAGATCTCCGTTCTTTCCACAATTTTCTGACGATTGGAACTAAACATGCTCTTTGAAACAACCAAGGAGGGGAGAACAGAAATTGTTCATTGTTAGCAAACAGCAGGCCACCATCTAGTTGACTCTAGCCTCTGGTCTCCCGCACTCCATAGAGCAGTTTGAGGGGGTAGGGTGGCTATATGGGATGTATATCTGTCCCCACTTTGAAATAGACTGCCACATCTTTCTCAAGAACCTTGTGCACTTGGCCTGACTGAGCTACAAAGTCTTCAACACCAGAGCTAGGAACAATATCATCGGTATGTAACCCTGGGGACCTGCTGCAATGCCAAACTACAAACTTCTTTAGTGATGGTGAGAGGGGAATAGGAAATTATTACAATTGTTCTTCAGCTTTAGAAACATACAACCAGTATACACATTCCTTTGCATTTGAGTCCATACATGGACCATGAAGGTGCCCTAAAAAGATGTATTCCCAGCAGGCTGAGGAATCTCGGTGTCCACACTGTTGTGCCAGGGACACAGGTGTTACGACAACTCAGGGGACCTACCTTGACCTCATCCGCTCGTCGAAACCGCTTGAGCTGCCGCAGCCGCATATACTCAGACTTGACACGTTTCCGCCAGCACACGGGCCCCTTGTCGGACTTCTTCCCGGTCTGGCCCATGACTGCTGTAGAAGCAAGTTTCACAGTAAAAAACGGGGCTGAGGGCTAGTGTGCGCCATGTGTGCAGTCGCCTGTTCAGAAACCTTGCTTCTGCAGCTAGCTGCCACCAGACCACAGAGCTCGAGTTCACTCTCACATGTGCCCGGTCCCCCGGTGTCCCAGCACCCTCAGAGCCCACTTAGGTCCAAGGCACATCCTTTTCACATTTCCTCCTAAAGCATAGCACATCTTCAGGAGATGAAAACGACACTTCCCACCAAACAGCAGAGCTAATTATGGGCCACACCGCTGGCCTCCGCAGGGTCTGTCCACTGAGCATGGGGAACTCATGGAAAGAGTACTGCCCACCGGGAGGTCTCCAGACCCAAATTCTTGAGGAGAGACTTGGTGACGACTAAACATGCTATGAGAGTAAGTGACTTTCTAGATGAACCGATTTAGCAGGCCTCCGAACACCATGAGTCTCCCACCCTCGGGCACAGGCACTAGCTTTAGAGGATGAGAAGGGCCCTGAGGAGGTCAGCAGCCACTGTTTACAAGACTCCACAGCCAATGGGGATGCAACAGCAGAAGGTGGTTGTTTTCTCAAACATGTAACAAATGATGATGAATCAAGCAACAACCCAACACACCTTTCCCTAACAGAGCTTTATACTTTAGCAAAAGCTTCTGAAACAAATTACAAAAGTGCCTGTAACGTCAAGCTAGGAAAAAGTGGCCAACTTGAGGACTGCAGGTGGGTGGTGAGTGGGCCAGTACAAGGGACTTTATCATCTTTTCAGTCGTCCCATGTGCATGTGAAAGCTGGTCAATGTAAAGGAATGAAAAGTGACAGTGTCAAACTGGTGCTGGCAAATTAGTCCAAGTACACTACAGAGATGCCAGAAACCCAATCGGCCACAAAAAAACACACCCAGAATGCTCCTTAGACCCGAGGATGGATAGACTTTGATTTGCTTACTTTGGAAAGACCAAGCACTAGAAAAGGATGTAGTTTGGTCAAGTACAATGCTAATTCATTTAGGGCAAATTAGTCAAATGTAAGGATCCTGACCTCTGTATTATGATCTAAGAAATAAATGTAAGCGTTTAGACCAGTCTTTGAAAGTATGGGGCTAGGTAGGCAAACCCTTCAGAAATGATAAAATTTAAGGCACCACTTAGGACTTTTGCAGAAAACACACACCAAATCACCAACACAGTACAAATCTCCCTGTTTGTCAGCCACTCCACTAGCCACGCTAAGTTCCTCAATAGCTGGAATCACGTGCCCAAGGACTTTTGCAGAAAACACACACCAAATCACCAACACAGTACAAATCTCCCTGTTTGTCAGCCACTCCACTAGCCACGCTAAGTTCCTCAACAGCTGGAATCACGTGCCCAAGGTGGTACTGTTGTTCCTGGCTCAGTGACCCTGTAAGGGCTTCCCACAGAGTGGCTGGGGGGGTTGAACCACTGACCTTGCGGCCTAGTACATTAAGAGAGTCACCTCAGGACTCCAATGACAGGAGGTCATGCATGGGCTTAATTGCAAACAAACATTTGCAGTCTTGTTTACAGCTGGGCCCCAGGTACAGAGGGGAGGCAGGCAGCCATTTACACTTGAGGCATAAATGATTCAGGCCAGAGGAAAGAGGGCCCTCAGCCCATCCACCTCCACCAATCAAGAGAAGACTAGAAATCCAGATTCTGTTAAGGTAGTTGATCATTTCCTGGAAGTCCTCATTCAAAAGCCAGGATAGCTTCACCCACCTGGAAGCTTCTCACACACACCAACAGTGCTTCCTCACCCCTGACCACCAACCGCCCACACACACACAGAGGCCACAGACATACTGCCCCTAGGTGGCCCACAGCAGACCACTCAAAACTGGGCTCAACCCATGCTCAGAAGAAAGCACAGCTCCAAGAATGATAAAGCAACAAAGGAAGCCTCATTTAATGACTGACTTCTGGAAGAATGGATGAGGACTTGTGGATACAACTAGATTTTAATTTCTTGTTGAAAAGATGTTTGAGTTTCATATGCGAAACGACACATGCAGCACATGAAAATAACTTCTCATTATGATGCTAACCCACCACACTTATTCAATCTGTATGCTGAACAAAAAAATCTAAGAAGCTAGATTACACAAAGAACATGGCATCAAGACTGGAGGAATACTCATCAGCAAGCTGTGATATGCCGATGACAGTAACCTTGCTTGGTGAAAGCAAAGAGGACTTAAAATGCTTACCCATGAAGATCAGAGACCACAGTTTTCCGTATGGATTGCACTTCAATGCAAAGAAAACAAAAATCCTCACAACTGGATCAATCAGTAACATCATGTCAAAGATTTAATTTTGCTTGGATCCACTATCACCATTCATGGAAGCAGCAGTCAAAAGATCCAATGGCGGAATCCCTGGACAGTACATTAGGTAACTCTGTTGCACGGTGCCTCTTTAAAGTGTTCAAGAGCAAAGATGTCAGTTTGAGGATTAAGGTATGCCTGACCCATGGCCATGTATTTTCAATACATGCATGTGGACAATGAGTAAGAAAGAGAGTAGAAAAACTGATGCCGTTGTGTTAGAGAACAATAACAGAAGTATCTTGGACTGCCAGAAAAGCAAACAAATGTGTGATGAAAGAAGTACAGCCAGAATGCACCTTAGAAGCCAGGTGGGGCAAGAATTCATCTCTTATACTTCAGACAGGTTATCAGGAGAGTCCAGTCCCTGAAGAAAGACATCCTGCTTATTAGTAAAGTGGTGGTGTACCATGGAGTCAATTCCAACTCACAGCGACCCTGCATAGGATTTCCGAGGCTGTAAATCTTTACAGGCACAGAAACCCTCATCTTCCTCCCGCAGAACAGATGGTAGTTTTGAACTGCTGGCCTTAAGGTAGGCAGCCTGACTCGTAACCATTGTAAAGTGGAGGACCAGCAAAACAGACAAAGACCCCTAATGAAATGGACTGGCACAGTGGCAACAGGAATGGGTTCAAGTGTAACAACAACTGTGAGGATAGTGCAGGAAGACCGAGCAGGGTTTCGCTCTGGTGTGCATAGTTGTTATGAGTCCGAACCAACATAATAACACCTAACAGCAGGAGAAACAGCTGCAAGCGGACACTGAGAGAACTTCCAGAGATTCAAGCCAGATTCAGAAGAGGATGTGGAACGAGAGATATCATTGCTGATGACCCATAGATCTTGGCTGAAAGCAGAGAACACCAGATCGATTTACCTGTGCTTTATTGACTACGCAAAGGCTTTCGATGGTGTGGATAATGACAAGCTATGGACAACATTGTGAAGCATGAGTATTCCGGAACACTTAATTGTGCTCATGAGGAATGTGTACCTGGACCAAGAGGAAGTTGTTTCAACAGAACATGGAGACATTGAATGTTTTAAAATTAAGAAAGGTGTGCAACAAGGTTGTGTTCTTTCACCGTACTTATTAAACCTGTATGCCAAACAAATCATCCAAGAAGCTGGGTTCTATGAAGAAAAACGTGGCATCAGAATTGGAGGAAGACTCATTAACAACCTGCGATATGCAGATGACACAAACTTGCTTGCTGCAAGTGAAGAGGACTTAAAACATTTACTGATGAAGATCAAAGAGCACAGCCGTAGGTATGGATTGCATCTCAATGTAAAGAAAACAAAAATCCTCACCACTGGACCAATAAACAACATTCTTATCAAAGGAGAAAAGACTGAAGTTGCCAAGGACTTCATTCTTCTTGAATCAACTATCAACACTCACGGAAGCAGCAGTTAAGAAATTAACCGATGTATTGCATTAGACAAATCTGCTGCACAAGACCTTTTTAAAGTGTTGAAGAGCAAAGATGTTAGTTTGAGGACTAAGGTGTGCCTGACCCAAGCCATGGTTTTTTCAGTAACCTCATATGCATACGAAAGCTGGACAATGAATGAAAAAAGACCATAGAAGAATTGATGCCTTTGAGTTATGGTGTTGGAGGAGAATATTGAAAGTGCCATGGGCTGCCAAAAGAACCAACAGATCTGTGTTGGAAGAAGTGCAGCCAGTGTGTTCCGTGGAGTCCAGGATGGCCAAACTTCATCTCTCATACTTCGGACATATTGTCAGGAGGGACCAGTCGCTGGAGAAGGATGTCATGTTTGGTAAGGTGGAGATCAGAGAAAAAGAGGAAGACCACCAGCAAGATGGATTGCCAAGTGGCAGCATCGATGGGCACAAGTGTGGCAACAATTGTGAGGTTGGCCCAGCATCAGGCAGTGTTTCGTTCTGTTGTGCCGCGATAACAGCAACAGAGTCCATGTCAATTCACAGCAGCCCTTTAGCACAGGGCAGAGCTGCACTGTAGGATCTCCAAGGCTGCCATCTTTATGGAAGCAGACGACTGCCACATACTTCTACCATGGAGCAGCTGGTAGATTTGAACTACCAACCTTTCAGTCAGCAGCCAAGTGCTTAGATCACAGTGCCACCAAGCGTCCTTGTTAAGTGACATGGAGTCGGTCCAAATCCATAGCGACCTTATGTAGTAGGGTTTCCGAGAGTGGCTGGTGAGCTCGAACCACTGGCCTTCTGGTACAAAAGTACTTTGCAGACCAGCACATTAACCCAAAGTGCCACACAGGTGCTTAAATCATTGTGCAACCAAGGCTCCTTGGGACCATCAAATCCTTCACAGGAGACCATACCGGTGGGTTTCACCACCTGAAATGTAGGAGCTGAGAGACACCCAGGGCTGAGATTTCCAGCCCAGCAGCACCGAGTTCAGCAGCAGATCTCTTCCCTGGGGCTCAGACAAGCACTCAAGACAAGGCTATGATGCTCCTCACCAGCAGACCAGCGTCTCCCTCTAGACGACTACCAAGCCACACCAGCCCTGGTGCACCAAGGAGAGTCCTACCTAGGAATAGTCCCTGTCCCTCGGCGTCCAAAAGCCAAGGGATCAAAAATCAGTCCCACTCTTGGATGCCTTTCTTACAGGCCACACCCTC